CTCTCTCACACACACACACACACACACATGCACACACATACTTGCATTTGTGGTTTACAGGGACTCTCCATAGGCGCAATGGTTTTATACTGTACAAACTCTATTTTCTATCGTCCTACACCTAAACCTACCACTTACAGAAAACTACTGGCAATTTTTGAATTTCATAAAACATATTTTGCATGTTTTTAAGCCTTTTGTTTTACGGGGACAGAGGAAGTGTCCTCATAAAACATGTTTACGTTGTAGTACCCATGTCATTATACACATTTGTCTCCTCATAAACCATATATACCAGTAAACACACACACACACACACACACACACACACACACACACACAGGTATATATAAAATATATTTTAGAAATATTTTGTAACAATATATACACTACTGTTCAAAAGGTTGGGGTCAGTATTTTTTTTTCTTTTGAAAGAAATTTATATTTTCATTCTCCAAGGATGTGTTAAATTGATAAAAAGCATATTGTTAGAATCTTGTATTGTTAGGAATTATTTCTATTTCGAATAAATGTTGTTTCTTTCCCACCCTTTTATTCATCAAATAATCCTGAAAAAGGTATCACAGGTCCCAAACAAATATTAAGCTGCAGAAATGTTCCCAACATTGATAATAAATCAGAATATTAAATGATTTCTGAATGATCACATGACACTGAAGACTGGATAAATAGCTGGAGTAATGGCTGATCAAATTCAGCTTAACATCACAGGAAGAGATTTTATTTTAAAGTATATTAAAATAGAAAACAGTTATTTTAAATTGTAATAATATTTCACAATATTACAGTTTTTTTCTGTATTTTGATCAAATAAATGGAGCCTTGGTGAGTATGTGACTTCTTTAAAAAAACATTTAAAAAATCTTACTGATCCCAAACTCATAGCAGTGTGTGTGTGTGTGTGTGTGTGCGTGCGTGTGTGTGTGTTAACGCAAATTAATTTTAACGGCACTAATTTTATTAACGCGCGATTAACGCAGTGCGCATTTTCGGTTTGACCCGTAGCCTAGCCCGTAGTTGGAGAAATGGAGATGCACTGTGTTGCCAACTTAGCGACTTTGCAGACCCCTTTAACGACTTTTTTTTTCTTATTAAAAAAAGCGCTACAGCAACAAATCTTTAGGGTTTGCCTAAACCTTAGGCCTGTTTAGTTTCTGAGACTCGCCGGTACTGCCGCTCAAGCGCGAGGTCTCTCTTTCCCAGCGCGCACACCTCTATCTGCGTCTGCTCTGTTCAGCAAGCGGCCGAGAAGATCAGCGTTTTCAGTTAAAACAGATATTATGTTGCTTCTCTAATTTTACATGCAAGTATAGCCGAAATCACAGCACACCTATTGTCTTTATCTTATGTGTATTTGATCTCATCTCATCACGGCTCGATTATAAATCAGGATTCTTGTTCAGATAAACTTCTTGGAAGGGAGCGCTTATGAAGTCATTAGTTTCAGTCATTAGTTCATATTTATTCTGTTGTCTGACAACAGAAACAATAAAACATATAAATGAAAAAAAGAAATTTAGCTGCATCAAAATACAGTATGTGGGCACAGAGAGGCAAACAAATGTAATAATAAATAATAAACGTACATTTTGCATGTTCAGAAGAAGTGAGCTGCCCTGTCCTGC